CCCCAAAACCCCAAAACCCCAAAACCCCATGAAATTCTAAAACTTAAAATTTTGCATTAAGAATTTGTTCAGATTCAAATAATATAATATTTAGTCAATATGTGCATAGTATTCTTTAGAGTAAGACCAACAAAAGGGATAAAGCTTATTGTGATATTTAACAGAGATGAATAGCCATCAAGAAAAAGATCTGAGCTAGGAGTTCATTTTGATCCATAGCGAATTGCATGCGCAGTTGATCTTGAGGCTAATGGTACTTGGCTAGGTTTTAATCTTGATACTGCTAATTTTGGATTTCTGACAAATTATGAGAACAAGAAATTTAAGATGATAGCCGACTCTAAATATAGAAAGGGCAACTTACTAATGAATTTCCTTAAATCTGAATCTCCTTTTACAAAGCCAGAGTATTATTAAGAATATTTAGAAACTTTCCTCTAAGAGGGTGAGGAATTCAACGGAACTAATATATGGTTAGGTAATAGCTCGACTGATGATGTCATCTTAACTTTCGCTCACAACTAAGAAAATAAAGAGAAGAGTTTCTAAGTTATTAATACTGATGAAACTATAGCATTTGGCAATGGTAGGGTTAATGAATAATTTTTCAAATAGACATTGGGCTAAAGCTTAGTAGATAAAGTAATCTCACAAGTTCAATTAGAACACGAAGATCAGAGTAGTGATGAGTTGATTTAAAACTTGAAAAACAGGTTATTTAAAATTGCAGAGTTAAACAAGATTCCAACAGATAGAAAAGACTGGGTATAAATTGATTTATATAACGATAGTGAAGCTTATTGGAATTCCAGTATATTTTTGGAGAAGCATGAGGAACGACTGATAGATGATGAGCTAGGTGTATTTGCAACTATCAGTTCTACAGTAATGATAATAACAGATTCAAATGAGATTCATCTTTTTGAAAGAGTTTATGACCATGATAGCATTAGTGAAAGCAAAGAATATACTGATTATGATAATTAAATTCATAAGGAATTAATTGAGTTGGATACTTTTGGCTTTGTAGAGTAAGATTCATTCACAAGGACTCCATTTAATGAATAGTATATTTATTCTAAATTTTGAAGATTTTAGATTTTAAGAATTTGAATAGTCATGGGGTTTTGGGGTTTTGGGGTTTTGGG